CATCAAACTATGTAACACCAATACCAAGGCCATTGTCAATAGCTACATCAGTTGAGCAAGTCCCATTATCGTCGAGCAAAACGCAACCGCCACTTCCCACTCTACCGTCAATTCAAGATGAAAATTCATCGCCAAATTCTTCTCCGCAAGGTGCACCGAGCGATGATATAACGCCGTCTGATGAATCTGGTGATGGTACAAGTTTCAACAGTCCGTTACTCAGGACGGGAACAGTCTCGAATGACAAACGAGGGTTAAGCCTGAGATCGTCGGTGAGAATAAATAAAGTCCTAACACCGGATTCAACCGACAGTGACAAAACATCGGTAGCAGTGGACAGCAGACGAGGGAAGATACCGGATATTTGGTCCACCGGTGCCACCTATCGAACTACATTGCCGGTGGAAGAAAAAGATAAAAACGATGAGGAGGAGGTTGGAGGTGGAAGTAAACGGTTCTTTGCAAATTCTAATTTTGACGACGAAAGCGATTAAGAATTATACTTGTCACATTTATCTGAAATTATATTTCGGAAATACTTACACACATAATTTTTTTTATTACACCAAAATTATTAAATTTATTTTATTCTCTCCCGCAGGATAATCTTTCGGGATAAGAGCATTTATTATAGATAGAAATGGCACGGAATACGTCCATTATAAAGCAAGTGATTGTAATATATTGATACTATAGTGTAGAAGAAAAGAATTACAATTACAATAATTATTTTAGTTATCTTTGTAACACGAACTGTTGATCAACCTAAACGGGTTCAAAGCAAGAAACCCACAATATTTGGTTATTTAAATAAAAATGCTTGGTCATCATCTTTCCGAAGGCGCATACGTTCTCGCGAATACATTAAATAAAAATAGATTTACCTAAATAATTTTCTTAAATGTTTTTAATAATTTTAATAAAATCATAAAATTTGTCATTCATTATAATAAGATATGATAAAACGGTTATTTTTTATTAAATAGAGCAATACATTATTTCTCTGATTGTCAAAAGTAATTTAATTTAATTTAATTTGATTTTAACATTTATCTTATTTTTATATAAATTAATATTTCTAATAGATAAATTATATTTCTTTTTTATTAAATTTTAATAAAAAGAAATAAATCATTAAAAAACTCAATTTAAAAAACAAATATTTTTGAAAAACTTTATGTTTTTTAGTAATAAAATCCATATATTTTTTTAACAACAAATTTTTCTTGAAGCACTTGTTTTCTCTTTTCTTTTTAAAATGCTTTTTAATTTATTTGTAAATAAATTTATAAGAAAAAAATTATTTTACCAGAAATTTGAAATTTTATATTTCAATATTATTACTTTTACTTTTATTAAAACTTTTTTTTAACATATAATTTTTTTAAAAAGTTTTTAAAAAATTTTGCTTATTTTAGTTTAATCTTAAATTTTTAATTATATTAGAATTTTTAGATGGTAATTAGTTAAAATTTTGAATTGATTATTTTTTAATAGTAAAAATATAATCAAAATATTTTTTTTCTACATATTACTTTTTATATAATATTAAGGTTAAATAGTTTATAATGAAAATTATAATTTGAAAATATTATTTTTTTTTAATATAATATAATATTTTATTTTGATATACATATAATATATTTGAAAAATATACTAAAAATTAAATTTACATTTAAAAACAAAATAAAATATCTTATTTTAATTTAACAAGAATTTAAAAGATTTGTTTTTTTAAAAAAAAAATAATTAAAAAATAAAATATTGAAATTAATTATTGATTAAATAAAACAATAATTTTAGAAAATTATAATTTAAAGAGAAATTACTAATAAAAAATCAATATTTCTTTTAATTAAAAGTTTTTAAATATTTTTAATCAATAAAAATCTTGAAAATAATATCAATTTTATTTTTTTTTTTTTTGAACAAATAAATTTTCTTTTCTTTTTAATTGTTTTTAAAAATCTTAATTAGTTGTAAATAAAATATTAAATTTAATAAACTTGTATAATAACTTTATTGTTTTTTTATTTTTTAATATTTAACAAATATATAAAATTAATATAATTAGTTAAAATAAAAAAAATTAAATGATTATATATAAAAATACAATATAAAATAAAAGATAATTATATTTTTTATATTAAATAAATTTAATAATAGTTTGTTTATATTAAACTATTTAAATTAAATAAAAAATATTAAAATTTTATGTTAATAAAAGTAATAATATATAAAATCATATATATTTTTAGAACAAAAAAAACAATAAATAAAAATTAAAAAAATAGTAATATTATATAATTAATTTTTATATTATTTTTAACTTATATAATTATAAACAAAAAAAAATCTAAAGTAGATATTAAATTTTTAATTAATATTTTAAAGTTATTTTTAATTTATATAAATTAAAAATCAATTGAAATATAATTTTTAAATTGTTTTAATAAATATTTTAATAAATATTTTAATAAATAATATTAATAATTATAATCTGTAAATCTATAGTACAATAATTAATACTATATGATCAAATTACTAAATATTAATTTAACTCTATGTGAAAATAATTTAATAGTATTAATATAATATCTAATGCAATAATCTGTAATGCATTGTTTCTTATAAAAAACCAATTTATATATTAATTTAGCAAGCGTTAAGATTACAATCTTTATAAAAGATGTAATAATGTAATAATAATTTTGTTAATATTATAATAATTGTTAACAAGTAATAATATGACATGTTTGAATATATAAATTAGGTTGTACTTTATTTTATTCAATCCCAATCAATAACATCTTCTTCTATAATCAATTTTAACCTAATTAAACAAAGAAGACTTAAATATTTTAAGCCAATTCCATTAATACTTCCTGTCTGAATATAAATTAAACTGATAGGTTAAATAGTTTAAAATTAAAAATAAAATTATCTCTTAAATAGGTTTTTTTCAAAAAACATAGTTCACTTTAAAAGTATATAATATATTGCTAGATTCAAAAATAAATAGAAGTAGTAAATTAATTTAAATAAACCTTGTAACAATATAATTGAATATAATATTATACTTAATTTTTGTTCAAAATCTTTATTACTCCTTGTCTAATTTTTATTAACATTTATTCTTGAAATATTATCTGTTCTAGAATAATCTTATATACAAATCTATTACTGCATCTTTGACATCTACTGCATTTATTACACCTTTATTATTTTTAGAATATTTTTATTTTATTTCATCTTTACTTTTTATATTATCTTTGTCAAAATATTTATTTATGTAAATAATAACATAGTTAAATATTTTAATAAAAATAGTATCTATATTTTTATTTATATTTTTAGCATAGCATATATTTATTATATACAAAAATATTATATTTTAAGTATATATATATAGTCTTTAATTTTATCTAGAAAGTGGCAGGCTTAAACTTTTATTTTATCAAATAAATAAATTGATCTTTATAAAAACAAATCTTTATTATCTCTTTAGTTTAACTTCATATACTTCAGAATTGTACTAATTTGTATATCTTTAGAAACTTAATATATCACATTGGTTCCTTCTATCTAAAAGTATCTTACTGTTACTAGTTCTTTATCTTTATTTTTTTCCTGAGGTAAAAATAATATATGACAATAAATAACTTAATAAAAATCATATGTTGTATGTATTATTTATCTCAAAATAATAATAATGTTATTATTATTAATTAGTAAATTTCAAATTATAGAATTAAATAAAATATAATTCTTATATATGTAATATTTTATCAAATAGTTTTTGATAATTATTATTATTAATAGAAAATTTTTTATAATATAGATTAGATGATACAATTTTTTGTATTATATATCTAATTGGATATTAATGATATTTTGAAAAAATAATATATATTATTATAAAAGCTTAAATAATTTATTTTATAATATAAAAGTTTATAAGTTTTAATTATTATAATATTTTATATTAAAAAAATTATAAATAAGATATTATTTGTTATTAATAAAGATAAATTTATTAAAGACCTATGGGTCTATAGCACAGTGGTAATACTCTATAGGTCACCAGGAAAAGATCTAAGGTTCAATTCCTCCTGATTACAAAAATTTATCACCTTCATGATTGGTTGACCAGCTTCCAATTCATGTCGTACCCAATCAATCAACAAATCTATCTTCAAATTTAGTTAGGTTGCATGAAGATGAGACCTCTGGTCTTTCTAATGATCGCAGGCTGAAAACAGGTCGAAGCAAGGAAGGTTGTATGAGGAAAGGCTTTTGGTCTAACTCCGGTAATAAGCTCACAAACTCCAATCCAAACTGGCAACAACAAACTCTATCACATAATATAAAAAGGTTAATTCTAAGCTGATCTATCCCAATCTGGAGCTTGTAGATCTATCCCAATAGTGGTGTTCCATGAAACTTAATTATATGGCCGATGGGCAAAGTATCAGCCACAGGTGATGAGAAAACTAGACAAAAATTGTTAAGCCAAGTAAGTCTAGTGAGGATCTACAAGATTAAATTGGAATCCAAGCAAGAACGCCAGTTCCACAGGTGGTGAAAACGGTAGTGTTGTGCTATGCTAGTGGTACATCCTGAGGATCAGTAATAACAGATAATTGGAATGACTGGGGTTAATCTTTATAATTAACATCCCATATACACTGCTTCCTGCAATAATGAACCAGCAGGTTTAGGCAGGTTTAAACTAGTGGTAGAATTTTCTCTCCTGCAAAAGTTTCACCTGACGTGTAGACACATCTACTTGATGTTGAATATATAGTTAGATAAAAAAAGTGGTTAGTATAGCTAGTTTTATAGTAATATATGTACTAGGCAGTGTTAAACTGCAGATTAACTGTAGAGACATAAAGGATATTTATGTACCAACCAACTTCCAGTTAGTTTGTAAAGACACTTGGTATCTGTCTGGATATTAAATATATCAATAAAGATTACATGCCATGCACACGTCCCACTTTAAAAAAAAAAAAGATAAATTTATTAAATTAGAAAAAAATTAAATAGTTTTGTTATTTTTTTAATATAAACAAATAAATAAAAATATCTTTTACAATTATATCAAATAATTCTCGATGTGAAATCCTTAACAATTATAATCTTTTTTTAAAAAAACTATAAAATAAACAAAATTATATTTTTTTTCAATTCTAAAAACCATCACATAAATTGTAAAACACTATATAAAAATGTAATTAAAAACTTAAAACAAACTATCTAATTTAGACAAACTGGCAAAAGAAGAAGAAAACAAAGGAGATGAAGCAATCACAATAGCCAATTCAAGAACAGCAGCATGGGAAACACTAAATTGGAGAGGATACCAGCTAGACATGAATATCAAAGAATTTTTGAAAAACATGTAAAACATCAAATAGATGATAAACTGAATAACATAGAAAAGAAACAGAGTATGGATTGAGTACAGAGACGAGCTACAAATAGACTGGCACTTTACTTGGGAAGTGCAACACCAATTCAGAATAACTAAAACATACAAGCCGAGAAGATCACATATATAAAAGAACTAGATACAGATTACTAAATAGCAAACTTCCTATACTGGATAGGCTAGCAGAAAGAAGATCAGATATCTACAAATCAAACAAATGCCTAGGATGCAAGGAAAGAGAAAGTCTAGAGTATTTAATGCACAAACACTGGCAATACAAGATAATAGATGAATATAAAAAGATAATAAAAAAAGAAACCGAAGGGTGCCAAAGAAATTGCAACAAAGGGAAAGAGAAAGAAGACTCAAAACTGAAAATTCCATTAATCACGAACTCAGAGTGCACAAGAAACTATATAGTAAGGGGAATTCTAACCAAAGAGATAAACCGATATATATATCAGTTTGCAAGAGAAAAAACAAAAGAAGTATACAAAAGAATTATTGAGAGAACAACAAAAGTAATTAATGAGCTATGAAAAAAAAGATGTGAAGAAATCACAGAATGGGAAGAGATAAATAACATCAACAGAGCGGACAAAAGAAAGCGGAGACATAGATCATATCAAACAAAAATCGAAAGAGACAGGAAAAAAGAAGAAATAACAGCAAATAGAAAAAAGAACCTAGGGAGGAAATTGCTAGAAAGATGGGTTAAAAATACAGACAAAATGACAAGAAACAATTTTTTCTATTTATATACTAGTGACATTAACAATAGTGATGTCTTGGCATGTTAGTTTCAACCTTTATCCATTAGGAAAAGTTGATAGCAACAGCCGATATCTAGGAAATCTCAATATAGTTTAGCATACACTCATCAATTAATGTTATAGCATAGTTTATATACAGAAATATATATGAATATATGTAAATATTGACTTTAATAAAGTTTGCTAAGCAAGGTTAAGCTAGTTAAAAAAAAAAAAAAAATTTGTAGATTTTTAATATTATATTTATATATATAAAGTTTATTGTAAAATTAATTATAATAATTTTTATTAGATTAGTAAAATATTAATTAAAATCATTGAATATATATTATTTATATTTTATACAATATATGATTGATTAATAATTAATTTATTAAAATAAGTTTACAACTTATTACTATTATTAAAATAAAACTTGTAATATTAGTACTGAAATATTAATGATTTATTAATATATTATAGCTTTATTAAACTTTTAATATTTAATATAATTTATTTAAGATATACAATATATATATATGTATATATATATTTTAAGGAATAAATAACTATCACATTTTATAGATCATAATTTTTTTATAAATAAATGTTTTGATATATTTCTAAATAAAAAATTATAAATTATCAAATATATATATATATACGTATATTAATTATATTTATTTATATTGAAAAATATGATTTTAAAAAATAATAAAGTTGTTTGGATTTTGTTTTTATATTTAATATATTGTATATAGCATATATATTTTCAATTTATATTAAAATAATTTATATTATTTGATTTTTTTAAAAAACTACAATAATAATAATATTATTATTCATTATCGTATATAAGTATTAAACTTATGGATATAAAACTTGAATTCAATATTCAATATAAAAAAAAAAACAAACTTTTTTTTCTTGTTATTATTTTATTTAAAAGAAAATATACACTATGATTGTTTCTCAATAAAAGCAAAGCAACAATTGTATTACATTATTTACATTATTTACATTATTATTAAGTTAATCGATTTTCGAAATAAGATTTTTGAATTTAAAAAATATTGTACAGCACATAAAATAATCATTATATAATAAGGGGATCGACATATATCTATATGAGGTTGGATTCGATTGGTTAAAGGGAAATTCGTAGAAAACATTGAGTTTGCCATGAATGAGAAATCCGCAAATTCGAGTTACATCGAGTTATCCAGTTATGGCGGGGCCAAAAACTTAGAAATGGGGTATAATCTCGACACACCGGCAACTCGGTGGTTAAATTGGTTAGAACGAAACAAGATCGAGAAATGGTCAGCATTAATAATCACAATCTTTGGAATTTACGTGAGGTGTGCGGTAGGACTAAGTCCTTATTCAGGTGGGTCAAAGATCTTTCATATCGTACACATTTAAATTAAATTCGTCCTACTTTATATAATTTTGAGTCAATGATTAATCAGGTTATAATACTCCACCCATGTACGGTGACTACGAGGCACAAAGACATTGGATGGAAACAACGTTACATGTTCCAATAAATCAATGGTATTACTATGATTTGGAATGGTGGGGACTCGATTATCCGCCATTAACAGCATACGTGAGCTGGATATGTGGTAAAATGTATGATTCGTACGACTTTCAATCACAGGATTTTTACATTACATTGTTAATCATCATATAATTTATTTTTTTCTACAGAGGTTCCATCTTCGATCCAGATTGGTTTGCCTTAGATCAATCACGGGGTTACGAAAGTGAAAGCAGTAAATTGTTTATGAGATCTTCAGTTTTGATCTGTGAACTTTTAATATATGTGCCATCAGTGTTTGTGTTTATCAATTGGTGGTTTTCCGGGAGTTCGTGGAAGAGAAAAGTACGTGCACAACTTTTAAAGTACGCCAACTTTAGTATGGCAACATTGATTTATTTTTGATGGAATATTGACCCGGACTCGGTAATTGCCGTTTTTAGGGTTTGGCCTGGTTACTAATACACCTACAACCGGCCCTGATTCTGATAGATCACGGTCACTTTCAGTACGCGAATAATTTCTGCAGTCTGCAAAACAGAGATTCCATCTTTTTCTAACATCATTATTGAAAACTTTTCATTACAGATACAATTCGGTGATGCTCGGACTTACAATTTGGGCAGTAAATTGTTTTTTCTATGACTATGATGTTTTAGGAAGCATCTTCTTTTGTCTCTCATTGAGTTTTAAACAAATGGCGTTGTACTTTGCTCCTGCGATTTTTGCGTATTTGCTTGGAAAGTGTATGAATGGTCATAAGAATAACAAAGAAGGGTATACGGATCTCAATCGATTGAATTTACCGTGTATATTTTTATAATACACGCAATAATTGAACATTATTATTATCTGTGCCACACCTAGAATGATTCTTTTTGTAAAACTGGGCGTGACGGTCATTGCAACATTTGGGATAATCTTCTTTCCTTTCATGGATTCATTTGAACACCTATCCCAAGTGATCTTGCGCATATTTCCGTTACAACGCGGATTGTATGAAGATAAGGTTTCTAACGTCTGGTGTGCGATGAATGCTGTTATCAAATTACGGGAGATGTTTCAAATTCAGACCTTAACACGGATAAGGTAGGCAATTGGTCTGTGTTATTTCGTCCTTTTTGATTATGTAAACTTACGAGATACATTTGTTGATTTTCTAATGAATTTAATTAGCCTTGTGACCACGTTATTGGCGGGTTTACCATCGTGCTTTCATCTCTGGTCCTCACCCAACAAACGTGGTCTCATTTATGGTTTAACGAACTCATCATTGGCATTTTTCTTGTTCTCTTTCCAAGTACATGAGAAATCCATATTGCTACCCGCCTTGCCCATCACACTCTTGATTTTGGACGATCCTTTCTGGAGTTCGTGGTTTAATAACGTCGCAATGTTCAGGTATCTTTCATATCGCAGTAGTTAACATTTGGAGTCAAACGATCTTATCACATTAATCTGACCGGATCTTGAAAATCCGTAGCATGTATCCTCTATTGAAGAAGGATCGGTTGGTGTTGCCTTTTTTTGTTGTTTGGTTCATGTGGAACTGGTTGGGTTCGTTTATCCGACAAAAAACAAAGCCGATTGTTTTCAAATATGCATCTGTGGTGAGTAATCATGATCTTTGCAATCGTGTGAGAATTTCTTTGGAGAAATAATTAATAATATTTCTACACCATTGATCCAGGTGTCATATTTGGTGATGACTGTCATTTATGTAATGGAGTTCAACGTTCCACCGCCAGCGAGATATCCGGATATTTATGTTGTCCTTAATGTGACCTTTAGTGCAGCAATGTTTCTCGTATTCTTGATTTACTTTAATTATAGGCAGATCACATTAAATGAGAATAATCTTGTTTGTCAAAGGGATAAAAAAAAAGCCGAATGAAGTCTTCTTTCCAATATAATAGAGCTGCGTCATTTTTTTGTCGAATGTTCCTTTTTTTGGATTTCAAATGAAACACTTTTTCGGGCGGAGATTTGCGAGCTTCGTTATTTTAGATGAAGGTAGGTATGAATGATATATCGGGTCATTGAGATGTTTTTTTTTTTTTTTTTTGCAACGGATTCGGGAATGCACCATTGGGAACAAACGAAAAAATTACATTCATCATTTTTTCGTCTACAAATGGTTGCAAGATAAAAACAAAGTATTCACATATTTTTTTATTTATTTTATTTTATTTTATTTATTTATTTATTATAAAAAAATTACATGTGTTATCTGGCAAAGGTTTCAGGGCCCAATTTCATCAAGTCACTTGAAATTTTGGGTAGTATTCACCTTTGCACATTTCCGCGGATGATAAACCGCATTTAGAAAATATTAATGAGAAAGGTTATTGAACATCGCCTTTGTTCAGATGAGTTTTCTTAAAAAAACTTCTCTTCATCCTTATAAATTTTTCTTTAGCAAATAATATTCATCACACGTGATATAAATACCGAATAAGGTACCAAACGGATTCAACACTCCCCTTCACTCAATTCGGAAATGCCGATCTCGGTGATTAAATACCTTTTTGTAAATCCTTTTGATTAAGATGGGAATGCATGGGACCTTTAATTTACACAAATTAGAACCTTGATCGCTTTTACATTATTGAATAATAACAATAAAAAAAGGCTATCTTCAAAGTGAGATGACAAAGGAAGCATCCTGCGGAAGGTGATAACACACGTCGATCGTTCTTCAATGATCCGCAAGGGCAGATGCTTGTTCCACAAAGTCTTTGATATGACCCTCTGACTTGACACCTATGAAGTGTACTTTAGGTTTACCCTTATGAAAGCAAAAGACCGTCGGAAGCCCGGTAATCTAAGGGAACATGCACAGAGAAAATGTACATCAGGACTTTGATCCTTAATCTCGATTGATCGCTCGACGACATCGCATCGAATGAGAAAACAATGAAATACATATAATAATAGATTACCTCATACTTATCTGTCACTTGTTGATTTGCATCGGCATCCACTTTCACAAGGGTGACTCTTTTATTATCCTTGACGACGCGTTCGAGGATTGGTGTCAACAATTTGCAAGGTCCGCACCAGCTGTTGCAATAATTGTCGGGTATGTTGAGATAATTTCCGAATTGCCGACAATTTTAGATAACAAAGATGTAGGGTAATTTAGGAATTCAACTCACTCTGCGTAAAAGTCAACTATCACCGGCTCATTGGCATCTAAAACGAGCTCCTTGAAGGTTTCATTGGTGGCCACCAGAATTTTACCGGTTCGTATAACGGAGGTGGTGTGAAAGTGCGAGGCTGGTAGCCGGCGAACTATTGAACAATGAATAAATTATTGGTTCACCCGTTCGTTTGACAAGACGGAATGTTTAGTCCTCTCAAACGTAATTAAATTTATTTATAGACTTTACCGTAATTAAGCGTAGGACGGATGAAGTTAGCAAACATTAATCTCAGAAAAAGAAAAAAGCTTACAATAATTAATGCTGTACACTAAATTAGCCGATTATACATTTATACATTATACGATTGGTGTACAAATGATTTGTATACAAATAAGGAAATTTTATGCCGAGTCCTCAAATTGAGAATAGTCAATTTTTGCCATTTATCAAATTTTATTTATCAATTGACAGTTCGATATAAAAAGCGAAAGCCTTCAACCCAACGCACATACATTTCCAATTCGTCTTCAATAGCTGTTTACTCCACACTTAAAACTTCTTTCCTTCATCACTCCATCGTCTCTTGAAACGACATGCGCTTGGTAACCCACAACATGCTCCAATGCCATGCTAGGGGCTGCAACACCAACAACTTCCCGTTAGAACTCTCGGAAGTCGAGATCCAAGTCTTGGAGACCGACTACAACCCTCAGTTCTTGAGAAACATGATTCCCAAATTAGATTGGAACGCCTTGGTGGTAACCGCAAAAAAGGTGAATAAAGCGAATCCCCTTTTCTTAAATACGATCGTTTGACTGCCATCTTACACACACTTGATTGATTTTTCGGAATTGCACTTCACGAATCGCTTAATACGACCGATCGCTAATTTGGTTATTTTATTTTTCCATTCAGGTCGGCATCACCGCGGTCCCCGATGTTTTGCCAGAAACCATGAACGAAGACATCGACGAGAATTTCCTCAGAAATCTCCATAGAATATTGTTGGAGGTACGACATTTTTAACGCGTCATAAAATTTCAAGGATTTCTCGCTCATCACTCTTAATTCTTTTTTTAGACTCACGTTCAACAGGGTAAGATGACGTGTCCCAACTGTAAACACGTCTACTCGATCAGAGATGGTATACCAAACATGTTATTGAACGACGAAGCCTAATTGCTCTATTTTTAGCGCTCGTACAACACAACTTCCACATATATTTTTCTGTTATATTTTATATTATATCTCTTATCGATTCGTTTTATTTATCTATCTATCACCGTTCTTTTATATGTCACGTCCTTACGTATTACGATATCGGAAAGCTTGCCTTATTTTCTTATTTTCCAAAAAAAATTTTCGAAAAAAAAAAAATTAAGATTAAGAAACACTTTATCACAAGATTTTTTCAACTAAGGGTGAAAAAAAAAAAAATTTTTTTTTTTTTTTTCTTTTATGATAAGAATTATCTTACGATTATAGTCCTCCAATAAAGAAAAAAAAAAAACTTTATATGAACGAAAATAACATTCATGCAATTCGAACGGTTTACGTAATAGGCACGGAAATGACATGCTTATGATTGTTGATATTCTGTGCGTCATCTTAGTAAGATGTTTCATAAGCAAAACGTAATGTGTCACGTGACACATTGTTATGATGCGAGATAATTGAAAATTCAGAAGCGAAATTATGACTGCAGCTTGATGCGGTGCATCCACCCGATAAAGTAATTCTAAATCAAAGAAATTCGAAAAATTCCCAGGCTTTTAGTGCACCAGCCATTGGGGTAAATAATGAATGGATCTTGATTTAGTTAGTACACTATATCTGCACATAAACATTTAATGATTTGAAGAAAAATTTGAGTTTGCCAAGCTTCTCGTTTCCCTACATCGTTTTTCGTCTCACTGGGGGTTTTTTTTTTTGTGGGTTAGGGTCGCTACCCTGTAGAGATCAAACGGATCAAATGTGAGCTCCGGCAATTTTATTATAAACAAGTAGCGTTAAAGTATATACTTCCTACATGTCACACATTTTACTTGTATCACGTGATTGTAGATGAAGAAACAAGTAATCCTAATCCGTGCGGATTAATTTGTGCATAATGATCAATGATCTATCGTGAGACAAGCTACACTTGTTTGCTACTTGAAATCGAAACGTTTTATATATCACCAAGCCACCACCGCCATGTTTATCCACAAAGGGCACGTTATGCTATTAAATTTTCGTATAGTGACAAAATAAATTGTACACTCTCTTTAGTAAAGATTATGTTGTTTTGCTTGTTTGTTACACTTCAAGGTTGACGCTTGTTTGAAAGGAATCGACTCAGCCGATTCTCATCTTAATCGTACGGTTGAATTTTTTTTCTTTCATCGATAATGATGCCGAAGCAGGGAACATTCCTGCTTAGTAGTTTTCTGTTACTTTTGAAAACTACAATGTGGTGTCGTAGAGGGCATAGCCCAATTTCCTACGCATAAAAGGTTTTCAGCCTGATCCGCTGGTAAAGAAAAATAAACAAAGTTTTCATTAGAATTTGCAATGTCTGGTCGAGAGAAAGGTCAACTGGAAATCATCTATAAAGACGACGCTGAAACCACCGGGGAAAAGAAACCCCAGGATACGTGTTGTTCATGGATAATAAATCTCTTAATAAAGATTCGGGACATAGGAGGGGTATCTTTGTTATTGGTCTTTGTGCTTCTCACCATTATCATGGCACAATATAAGATCAATCAATGGGTCATGTTTCTTGTCAGTTTCATTGCGATCATACCATTGTCCAACATTTTGACCATAGGACTTAACGATCTGACGGCTAGACTTGGACCCGTATGTCTCTCGCGACTATTTCCTTTGAGATCGAAAATCGTATCCTTAAACAAACAACTTTGTCAATTTTTTTGTAGGCTTATTTATCGATTCTCCATGCTTTCTCGGGAAATTTTGTGGAGCTCGTAATTGAAGTTTATGCCTTGCTCGACGGTCGATACGCGATCGTGCGTTCTGCTATACTGGGCGCCATTTTATGTAACATCACACTGGTAATAACGCGAGTACCTGCTCTCATTAATCTTCTGTTTTTTTATATATTAAGCTTGTAATCGACAGGTCCTAGGTATGGCGTTTCTGGCAGGATCTTGGCCAACGCAAGGACGAGTTCGTTCGAGAACATTGCATTTACAAGATTCTTCGTTTCAAGCAAAATTATTTGTCAACACAAGCGCTTCCATACTGGCCCTCGGGGTACTCGGGTTGGTAATTCCCGCGGCATTCAAAATTGCTGCGATACCGCAAACCTCCCTTACATTAGATAGTATTGAATGCGACTTGCAAACCATCAGTCACGCAACTGCAATAATTTTGCTCTTGGTCTATTGCGGTCTATTGGTTTTTCAATTGAAGACTCATGTCCAAGAGGTAACCAAAAATTCGACGCACGCTTCATCCATCTGACTTCTGACCTCGGTGTGGTTAATGTTATTTGATTGTGTAGGTAATCGATGCAAAAGAATATGAATTCACCGATCCTAAATACAACTTGTTTCTCGACATTTTTTTGTAAGCGCGATTTATTTGTTGAAATGCATTTTCTTTTCCAAGTTTCATTTCGAAAATTCTTTTTTTTTTTGATCCTTACATGACCTAAGGGTTGCAGCCTCTATCGCTGGTATTATCATATGCGCTAGATACCTTGTGACCACTATTGAACACCTGGCCGAAGAATTTGAGCTTGGTACTGGATTTGTTGGCGTAGTGTTGTTCCCACTGTGTGGTACTGCAAAGATTTTACGGTTTATGTAGTCGGATTCTATCAGTTGACATGACATCTTTATTAATTGGCACTTATTTCGTGCCGCCTAATTGCAGTCGTGTCTAATTTTATCGAACATTATCAGGCAATTAAGGATGCTTTCAGGGATAAAGTCGATACGGCAGTCGGTTTAATCCTAAACACTTCTGTGGTGTGTTTTTTTTTTTTTTTTTTTTGTTCTATAATCGTATCTAATTCTTCCAATTTTTTCAATGAATTTAACGATTCAACATTCATTTAGCAAATGACTTTATTGGTAACACCTATCCTGGTAATCATTGGTTGGATCATAGGGAAACCATTAACATTGGATTTTAACGTCTTGGAAATAGCCGTGTTGGCGTGCGCTGTACTAATTGTAAATTATCTGGTCGCGGTATGTTCAATACAATGCACTATTCTTCTTCAAGATACCTGTGCCTAAGTTGTGAAACACCTTGCATTGACAGGACAATCAAGCAACTTGGTTAGAAGGCTACATGCTAGTTGTAAGTAATGCGAATCTACTGTTTCTGTTTCAATGACGAATTCATTGCTCAACCATTTATTTATTTTTTTATTAGATTTCCTATGTTCTTATAGCGGTGGCCTTCTTCTACTTCCCCAATACAATCGAAAGCAATAACAACGTTTATTGTAATCCTTTTAGTAGAAACATGCGATCGAAAAATGCTTCTACGACCGTGGCTGCTTAGACATATACTGTATTAACTACTAATTTATTTAATGTAAAACAACTGTCAAATTTATGAAAGATTTTTTTTGGCTTATTTTTATTGAAAGATAATTGTACATGTATTTCATCCTCACAAAATATGTATATCGCAATGTTTTTTTTAAACAAAATCTGAATATACTCGGCATATAGCACTAGATAACATTAGGAAACATACTAATATCTAGACAATCAAATACTTGATAGGATTATTGGTACTATCCAATTTTCACTCCTTAGCGTCTTCTATGCCACCACTTCCGATAGAAAATTCAGCCTCCCCTTCGGGAAGACATGGGGAATCATAAATTTTGCAGATTCTGTTTTCACCTTTGCCTTTACGAAGGTATAACCTGTAGTAGTATAGAACAATTTGTTAAATTTGGGATACACGTGAATGAATCAAAATAATCTGATTACCTCGTTGTTGACATGTGAGCTATAATATTGCCACCAATTGGCTTTTTATCTGAAGCTCCAGCGAACATCAAATTTCCTCCGTCGACTGTTGCCACAACTTGGTTCGTAATGACTACTGCAATACCAAACTGTCCGGGTAAAATATGCGAATTAATATGTTTCGAAAAAAAAGATGTCTCAACCAAAAACAAAATAGATCACCTCATCAGCTAAACGCATTAAACCGCGCATAAATTTTGCCAGATGATTTTGACGCGCCGCAAGTTCACCTCGACCTGAATAATCCGTTCGATATAAGGCTGTGACACTATCGACAACGAGAAGCCCAAACCTAAAGATAAAATGAAGACAACGGGAATCGATTATCGTATCAATGGAAACATGAAAAACTTCATAAATTCATCTATCTGAACCTTGCTTCGGTCATCATTGCGGCAGCTTGTATTAATAGATTCATTTGGTGGTCTGTATTATAGGCTCTAGCGACGGCTACATTATCTAGAACTTCGTTGGCATCCATCCCAAACCTTTGAGCAATAGTGACCAATCGTTCTGGACGAAATGTGCCTTCAGTATCTATGTAGATGCATCTACTTTCAGCACCTCCTTGTTCCACAGGAAGCTTTTGTGTTGGTTCATGAATCGTCAGTTTTACACGAGAATTATAAATATTAAGTTATCAAGAAGAAAAATACTCACTTGACACGTCACTGCAAGCGTGTGGCATAACTGACTTTTTCCGGTTCTAAATTCACCAAAAAGTTCCGTAATTGCTCCAGACTCAATGCCACCTACAAATTTACAAGCGTTGAATTAATACACTTGATTATTTTTTGCGTCACTAAACTCACTTATTTTACCTCCAAGAAGATTATTTAACTCAGTGCATCCCGTCGTTAAATAAATATAATCACTTCTTCTTTCTTTAATGCAAGCTGCCGTTTCAAAACCCATCATCGTAGGAACCATCTTTAAAGCTGTATTCGTAAAGGATATCAGATTAAAGAATATTTAAAGTTTTATAATATTACGAAATATATTAACTTGCCTTCAGCATGAATTTTATCCAATTTCATCTCAGAAATTCCCTTGATGGCCAACAGAGCCTTCCTTGGCGAAAAAACGACGGATTGAACAGTGGTGTATCCACTCTCCTGAAGTCTTTTGATATCTGAGGAGTTGATTCCTGCTTCCTAGTTATGATTTGTGCAAAGGTAAAATGTTACAAAATAAAGTGAATTGCATGAAAAACATGAAGATACTTTCAAAAGTAAAACCTCGAGTTTAGTAATTTGTATGTATCCTATTGGTTCTTCGTTTTCCTCCTCAATGGTCTCTTCCTCCTCTTCCTCCTCCTCAACTTCGGGTTCACGTTCACGAGGAATTTTAGGCATATTGTGAGATTTTTGACAAAATTTAAGAGGCGATTTAAAATAAGAGTATTACGAGTACGAGGTTTAGAATAAAAAGCGCGATCACGGTTAATTTAAATGTAAATTGAGTCACATACGTCACGACGATCAAAAATATGTAAGACGCGATTCTTATTTATACTAATACAATATAAAATACGTAAATTATATACAGTATATACAGTAATTTTAATTTATTCTTAATCAGACTACAATCTGAGAATGTTTATTAATCTTTATTAATCTTTATTCAAACATAATAATATAATAAGAATACTATATATTTTAATCTAAAAGTTATTGTCAGTTATATTTTAATATTTC